GGCGCTGTGATGCTGCGCTGACTCATGCGCTCGGATGCTGGTCTTTCTAATGCACGCGGATGCTGCTGGCGATTTCAGGCTCGACTTTGAGCAAGCCTTGGCGTACAAATATAAATCGTGATTTTTTTGCTGTGCGATTTGGGGATTTGCCACATGCATCAGTTGTACCTAGCACTAATTTTGACTTTGAATGCATAAATCACGATTAAACGCGTCATATTTTTGCGTTGGGAAGATGCATGCAACGAATTATGTAACTGGCGCTCTACCAAATCACGAAATCGTTTTTGTGGGAGTTATAATTGACGGTTGCGAAGACGTCCCGTCTGGTTTGCACAACGTGCATGGAATTTTGCGCACCACTTTTTACAGTTGCACACCAAAGCCTCTGGTTGCTTGTAAGTGAGCATGCGACTTACAACAAGCAAATTCTCTGCACGAGTCCATAGTCCCCTAGAAACTGCATCGCTGTGGTCGCTTTTCACTCCGCTTTTCCAGGCATCTGTGAGCGCTCATGTTCCTGCTAGTGTCGAAGGTACTAGTATATCGAACGATGCTAAAAATCGACATAATGCTAGTTTAGCGTTCAAGCGGAGGAACCAAACGTCCCAGGTCGGTACTTGAATGAAATGAAGATGTTCTCCTTATCCTAAGATTCAGATATTCCAAAGTGAAACAAGAAGCGATTCAGCATCCAAGAACGAGACTGTGAAACGGCAGAGATCACATGCTGTGAATGGTGGGTTCCAATGTCCTTCCGGTCTGAAACGCTTTAGATCTCAGAAATGTCCTATTTTTATTGAAGGCACTGGCTCGGCGAATTTGACTGACTTTGGTTAGACTTTTTTGAGATTTGGCAGAACCTGATTAGGCCATAGCCCATCCCACGCAGTAAGGGTTAACTCTAGTCGAGAAAACTATAGTTCGTTGCTGAAGTCGTGACGATGGATTTGACTGCGGTCTTTAGGTTGTTTCATACTGCCGCACTGCAGCAGACTGCAGCTGACTGCATTGACCGCTGCAGTTCGCGTAAACAAGAAAAGAAATTGACTGAAAACGGTTCTTTCTCTTCGTGAACGTGCTTCGGCCGCTGCAGTCAACTGGAGTCTGCTGCAGTCTGCTGCAGTCAGTGCGGAAGTATGAAAGAACCCTTTTTTATGAGAGAACCCTTTCGAAATTGGTAATCTTTTACACATTTTAGGAAGCGAACCGAATGATCTCAAAGGCAGCGGCAAGCGAAAATTATCAAGAGATCGCAAGGAGGCGGAGTCGAAGGTAAACTTGACTGGTAGTAGATTTGGTGTTATCAGTAGTAGCTTGGCAACTAGAAAAATAGCAATCATGTGCATTCAAGAAGAATAGCACACGTATCGATAATTGCTAACAAAGTTTGTTATCATGCTAAGGTGATCGTATAATTTCTTTTTAGATAGCGCTGCCAAAGGTGAATGGAGCAGAAGATGTAAGCGTAAAAGTGGAAGAATCGTGGTACACAAAAAACTCAAACGTGGCTAACGAACGAGACAATAAAGCACGAAACATTACTAGAGTGTCGCAAACCTCCCGTGTAGTCACGAATGGAAGAGGAGATAATCAAAAAGATATTCATGAGAATTCCGTGCGACTGAAGAACGGCAACGAGCGCAACGAAGCAACAGCCATCTACTCAACCAGAGAAGACGAGCGACTGACAAATGAGAAACGTGTTAGCAATAACAAACACCTGCATCTTGTGCGCGGATATGCTGGTCCCAGTTATGTACAATACCGTGATTCCATGGCAAAGGATGGAAGAGAAGAACATGTCGGAGATTCTAGTGGTAAGACAAAAACAAGAGATGAAATGTATGCGCGAGGAAAGAAGGTTCAAAAAGAGATGAGAAATGGCAGCAAGGTACAGGAATATGAGAACAAAAGCTTGAGAATAGCTAATGGGTGGTCCACAACTGGAAAAAGCCAGCAGGAACAAACTTTTGTGGCAAGGGTTGCTTACAATGAACGACAGAAGGATTCGGAGCTACACGACATTTATACCGATGGGAAGAGCCGGAAGCAAGAACTCACGCAACACTCTGTTGGACATCATAACGCAAAACACTTCAAAGATTCTCAATTATTACAGGGCGACGGATCATTCACAGGCAAGACTATGAATCAGATCGAATACGTAGCAGTGAAGGGAGAGCGCTACGAGATGAAGCGTCCGAAGGATTCCGAGATATTTGATAGCAATGTTCCATTTACGGGAAAAACACTGAACCAACAAGAGTACATTACAGTGAAGGGAGAACGTTACAAGAACAAACGTCCCAAAGATTCTGGAATCCTGAATAGTGACGGATCATTCAGGGATAAGACTTTGAACCAGCAAGAGTTCGTCACGGTGAAAGGAGAGCGCTA